ATTATTATTGAATGAGTATATGAAACAATGATTCTGTGATTATCACAAGTAGTTTGCATCTGTAACTCAGAAATATGTTTTATATGTGGCATTTAAGTGGTAATTAAGAATTTTATAGGAAAATTCATTAGTTGATAAGGGAATTCTAATTGATATGCATGTGTTGAAATACATGAACAAGTCTCGAGTAGACGTGATTATTACCGTGCAAATATTAGATTGTCTTCTTAATGCTTTGAGATATATAGGGTTGATCAAATCAATTTTCTTGCAATTTATGATATATCTGGTGTAATTTTGTTTGGAAATCTGTCATGCATTTTAAGTAATCACTGTCTTACAGGCTCACAAAATGTTTATTCGTTTTGAAGTGTTTATTTTTAGTTTTGTGGTTTTATTCATAGCTTTATTAAAGGCAGAATTATGAAGGAATGTAAAGAAAACAACCGAGGGGTTTAAGAGAAGATGATTAATCCTCTCCTTCAACCAAGAAACCACAGTCTTTAATTTCAGGGAAGTTTAACACTGCTGAAATTTAGGATGTGTTTATAGCTCTTATTAGACTTGTGGATTTATTTCATGGAAGCAGCAGTAATGAAATGTTAATTTTCTATTAGTTGTAATATGTATGCGAAATAAATTGGTACTATCAGGAAGCAGTTAGTCAAAGTGTTTGAGAGTTTTAAGCAAAATCTGCTCATTATTGAGTTCAGAATTTGAAATGCTTTTCAATCCTTAGTCTCCTTCGCAGCTGTTGTTTGGTCTCATAATGCAATAGCCTATTGCAGAAACGTGAGAGGACTGGGAAAGAGTGTGGTTGTTTTCGTTTGTTTGAAAAACTAAGGTATTCAAATGAAAGATCAACTAAATTTGAGAATCTTAAGCAAGAATAGAAGTATTTAGAGGAGGAAATTGGCAAAATGACAGCTCTTCAGATATCACCAAAAGTAGAGAGTTTGTATGGATTGGGTAGATAGGCCAAAAAATTTTAAGAGTGTGAACACTTTTCCACTAAAAACTCTCAAACTTGACTGGGTAGCTAATTTTCCTTCAGTAACATTTCAGTTGAAATGTTTAGATTTTCAATGTAATCAATATGAGAAACTCGTTCGAGTCCTCTCGCATTCCTGCAATGGGCTACACGCTCTCTCTCCCACCAACGGCTGCTTCCATCAGTAACTAAACTCATTCCTTACTCTTATTGCATAAAAAGACCAAACAATGGCTGTAAAGGAGAGCATCTGAATCCTTGGTCTTCAAACTTAAGTGGCTAATGTCACTTTAGAAGGAGAGAATTAAAGTGTCCACAACTGGAGTTGGCTGCCTTTGATATAATAATATGCAAATACAGGTGTTCTCACTTGACACATGATATTTTGGTAAAGAATGGGATCCTTTTAAGGTGGCTCTGATCAAAGCTGTTTGTATTCAAAATTCTCCCTTCTTTCTTCTATACATTTTTATACAAATCAAATGCAAGATATCCTTCAAAATTTATTCTACATTGTGATGATATTCACTGTTACATTGGCCTGTACTAGTGGCATACTTTGTAAATTAAATCTGCACAACAGCTGTTCTAACAACAAACTTTTGTTGGCCACAATTTTACATTACTTAATTATCTTGAGGTTTGGTTGCTAACCACCAGTGTAATGTATGGTCTAGAACAGCTGGGGTCGGTGAGAGACCATCTAAGCGATTATTTACATTCAGAAAGTCATTACAGTCAATTTCACTGAAAGACTTACTGTCTAATAAAGGAAGTGTAGTTGGTTTGTCTTCCACAACAACTTTTGCTTCTTCGTTGAGAAGTTTCCTGTTGTCACCAAAAATTTCTATCTTCTGATCTCTATAGTTCTTTAGAGATGTTTTTCTTGCTTTTGAGTATTTCCTATGCATCTCTGATGACATTGTTGTAAGGGTTTGGTTTCTTATTTTTGAGTCACGCTCATTGCGGAGTTCTTTGGCTCGTTTTATTATACAAAATTTACTTTCAGTATCAAGTGTTGGTTGTGAATAAGAGCAAAAATCCTTCCTCTTTTTTTGAAGTGCATTTTCTGGACTTTCAGGAATTGGAGGTAGCAGTACTTTTTTATCATCTGGACTTTTTTCTTGGTTCATGAAAAGCTTCTCACTTGTCAATGTGCTTTCACTCGGGAAGCTTTCATAATCTTTTTTGCATATTGCAATTTTTGCAAACTTCCTGTTAACCATGGCAACATGCAGTTCTTTTCCTGGAGGGGATTGGACTTTAAACCTCTTACTCTTTCTTAATGTTTTGGTACTGTTTCGCGATAGAGTTTTAGCTTGTGGGTCATTTTTGTCTTTACCCTCAACTTCTACCTTTGAGGATGTTTTACTCATGTTAGTGTTTCTTCTTATCTTACACACAGCTTCATGGCATTTCTTAATCCTTCTCTTCTCTGCAAATTTATAAGCACTATCAGAATCTTGCATAATTTCATCCCCAGCTTTCAGTATGCTCATAACATTTCTAAGTGTCTGTTGCACTTCAACATTTTGCATGAGTTCCACACGGTTGAGTGTCTGAAGCCATTGGCTGCGATAGGTGTATTTAGGGAGCTTGTGTCCCTGTGTGACTGTCCCAAGTTTGGATGCCCATGATCTTACAATGTAGTTTGGATCTTTACCACCAGTTCTGTATTTGTCCAATTTGGATTTTGATATAGTGTTCCTCATGGTTGTTTCCTATGAGCTCTTTTAAAATTTGTTGCTCCCTCTTCCTCATGAGACTGCGACAAGTATCAGTGTTTGATTCTTCTTTTTGTCAAAATATCTGTTATTGAAACTAAATAGGGAATATTTCCTGAATGAGTATTATGGAATTTGTCTTAAGAGTGTTGGAAAAGGAAACTTGAACTTGGCAGTTATCAAGTCTTCTGTTTGCGTCTTCTGTCTGAAACGTTCAATATTATAACAATACGTGTAGGTCCATTATCTTCTCTCTGTCACTGAATTCATAATTGTTCATTCGTACAAATCTGTTATGAAGACCAGCTTGGTCAGATCTTGCTCTTATAGAGGTACCAACTTCTAAGGGAATCTTGGTAGCTTGGTTTCGTTTAGATGACTTCAGTGTAGATGTCTGTAGACTTCTTAAACACACATGGTAACTGATTGTTAATAGTGCACCAGTCAACAAATGCGACAGTCTTAGAAACTTTATGAATATATTATCAACTTTTGATTCTTAATTTGTTGACATGGCATTATCCTCAGGGGAAATAAGTGAGCAAAGAAGTGCTCAGTTCTTCAATAGAGGAATTAAGACTTTTGTTTATTATAATCTTCTTCTCACAGTTTCTTATTAGGCATGTAGAGACCAAATGTGTTGGTTTTTTTCTATTCATTTTACTTTTGGTTGGATATTTAAGTAAAATTTTGTGATCACAGATATGAATCTGTGATCATGAAACCTCTTTTTGAATTCTAGTACACTATTAGTTTAATCAACGCCTTGACTTTAAAATTTCTGCCTTTTAGTGCAAATTTGAAGCTATTGTTTCATCACAGAAAATGAAATTTTCCTTTGGAGTTTAGAACAACAATGAATAAGAAATCCAATTAGGACAGATGGTATTTTTGGGCACCTGTGGAACTACCTGGAAAAACTTGATTTGTAACTTGAGAGGTTTCCTTCCGTGAAATTAGCTCGCTAATATAACTTAATTAGTACTGTTGGAAAGATGAAAAGATCGTCACACTGTACCACTTAGATAAGCTTTCAAATATACTCCCACGTAACGCGTTAGAGAAAAGCGTGTTCTCGCTAATCAATTTTCTAAGAGCGCTTCCAAAACGCGCGCAAAAAAATCTAAACGTATATCGGCTATCATGCAATTAGCGCGTTGAGTATTTTTGATAACGTTAATTTTTTTTTTATTGTGGAGTCAATAGACTATGGCAGAGAATGGTATCGTCATTTTAGAATTTTCTTGTTGGGCTTTTGTTTTTTTGTTTTCTTTAGCTGAACACTCTTCTTGAATGCCAGAAGCCAGCTAGCACCAAATTTGGTGATGCAACCGTCCATGATGAGCTCCTTTTTATTGTGGTACATCAAGGTACATGTACAAAATCTCTTCATTCAGGGCTGTGTGAGTCTGATTATGGCAGCTGAGAATGGAAAGATTAAGAGCTGAACTGAAGGAAAAACATGGGCGGATTCAGGAATTCTGTTAAGGGGGAGGATGGAGGGAGCTTTCTAGACTTTGGTTAGAGAAAACACAGAATTTTTTTCTTCTGGGTAATAACCTTTCGACGCGAGATCTCTCCGCCGTGATCGCGCAGGTAGTACCCTCAAATGTAAAGGTGTATTACTTCTTACTTGTTTTTCACATCTTTTTCTGTTAGCCTATGAACTCTGGTTTAAGCAGATTATTCACGAGTTGGACTCCATCAGGGACATTTTTACCTTTGAGGAATTGGTAGGTTTAAATTCGTTTGTAATGGGTAGGTTTAGCATTCATTTGTGCTCGTAGTCTTGTTTATATATGCAAAGAATAGATTGACGAATGGTCATTTTAGCCTGCGTCTCAGGCGCCGGTCAAGAACGCAAGAAGTAGATGTGTCAACATGGAAGGGGGAATTAATTGCGGAAAGCCAGAAGTAGTGAAAACAAATTGATCATTCATTTATTATTATTCTGCAATGTCTTCGGTCATTCATGAAGAGCAAGAGAAAGAAGTCTACGTAACGGGATGTGCGAGAGAGTAGGGTAGGATACACAAGATATACCCAACCACCCGTCTGATTTCTTGCTAGCGTCTTTGTTACTCTTTACGAGAGCGTTTAAAAATACTAAGTCTACATTTACCTGTAGTTTTGACACCCCACGTTTATTTCGACGCAGATGAGTTGGTGGAGTACATAAATGTAGATGTTTCAGCTTACTGGTAAACCTTGTAAGAATTCCGGCCCTAAAACTGCGATAATGTTTGGTATTTTTTAGGGCACAGATGAAAGGAAGATGCTACTTTTAATCTCAAGACTGGGTCGCATCGTCCAGATTCAAAAAGTGAGTGGTTGAATTCATTCTGTCTCCAGCGGAGCATGTTTTCATTTGCCTTTATGTGTTTTTGCCCTCACGTTTCTGATTCTACAATCAATAAATGTTGGGCTCTTAGAGATTGCAAAATAAATTTTCCGAGGAAGCCAATTTTTATTTTTCCGTCAAAAAGAGAATTTTGCCTTACGTTTTACTGGAGAAAATGTCGAGGTCTCCAATTCTCGATTCAGGAATTTAAAGAAACCTGGATTGGACTGATGTGGTCGATATTGGGACTAGGATAGAGTAGAGAATACTGTTGTCATCGCCTATGCCTCTCACTTGCAGATTGCTAAGACACCAGTGCTTTGTGGTCTTGCAGAGGGTCGTATTCAAAGTACTTCTAATAAGCTTGGTTACTTGTCGTTCACGTCTTTTATTTTGTAGCTGTTACGTGATCAGATCATGATATTAGAGACCATGACTCCTCTGGATTTTATGGAATTCAGGTCAGTCAATAAATTATTAGTGCATCTCTGGATTTGAAGAAAGAAGTTATGGAGTTCTCCGTTTAATTTTAGAGGTTTAAGCAATTCATAATTTTATTTTTTATCTGGAGGTTTTGGATCCCTTTGGATATTACCTGCAAGACATGGAACAAGCTCAGTGTTGCCCATTTTTTCCAGACTATGATTTACCTTCAAACCACGTGTTATATTTAGCTTTGAAACTGTTTGGCAGGTTGGACTGGTTTAATTAGTGAAAAGACCTCGTTTGAAGGCTGATTAAATCTTTCTTTTTTTTGCTTTCAGGGACTACTTAGCTCCTGCGTCGGGATTTCAGAGTCTCCAGTTCAGGCTGATCGAGAATAAACTGGGAATTAACAAGGTATATATTGCTCCAATTACAAAATCTGACGACATGCCCCAGTAACTAACTTGAGAAAAGAAAGACAACTTCATTTTGTAGGGTGAAGTAAGATGTTGATCCGGCCTTGTATCTAAAAATTACTGAAAGGAACCCGATAGCTAATAACAAGGACTTGGTCGCGGTTGAAAGAGAACTAAAGCCGTGCCATGGAGATGAAGGAGTTCACTTTATCAAAAGCTTTTGTATCCCTTTTTGTTTTGTTTTTCGTAAACAGGCGCACAGAATTCGTTACAACTACCAGGATTACAGGTAGGTGTGTGTGTGTATGTGTGTGTGTGCGTGCGTGTGTGTGTGTGTGTGTG